TGTTTGCAATGAGAATGTTTATGGGCGGGGCGGTAACACTTAAGATCAGCCTTTGTTATATAGAAAAAAATCTCACAATCACAGCCGATCATATTAAATTTTAGATTATTTTATTAGAATTATCGTTTAATTATATTAATAACGTTAATAGCCGTTAATAACGGATGTCCCTTTTACATAAATCTTGTTTCACACATTGACATAAACTGGGTCAAAACTTGTGCCCCAAATTGAAGTGATATATAATTTATTACGCTAATTTGATTAAGGCTCTCATTAGTTAAGTAATATCAAAGGTTACAAAGCTAAAAATAAATAAATAAATCAGTGGCACTACAACATTTTTAGGTCTAGACCTCAGATTTCTGTATCAGTTTCATGTGATCAGCCTCCTGTGCCTGACACACGCCATCGACTTTTTGGGTCTAAGGCAAGCCGGTTTTCTCTCGATGTTTTCCTTCACCGTTCGAGCGAATGTTAAATGCGCACATATATGTAGAAAGAAAATCCATTGGTGCACAGCTGGGGATCGAACCTACCACCTCAGGGTTGAGAGTCGTACACTGAAGCCACTACGGTAACACTGCACTTTACTGCAAAAGCTATTACTTTACCTTTAAAACAGCTCGTCTGTATATAGCTTGCAGTATAGGCTCATCTAAATATTAAACAGAAATTTCTTATTAAATGCAATTTTTTCTTGGTAAAGTTCGATCCAAAACCCGCCCAAGAAAGACTATAGAAAATATTTGTGGATCACTAACTGCTATATCATACTACTCTTCATAGTAGTTGGTTTTTAATAATAATAAAGTTTAAGCTTCCACGTTTTAACTTTCCATATCATCTAAAGTTAGTAAGTAATGTAGGAAAGTTAATTTTTTATTATTAGTCTTTCGTTTTTGTTTGATTTTTGGTGCGGTACTTAAAAATAACTTCAATAACCAGCATGTCTTGGATAATTTCGCTTATAAAATATGTAAAGTTGTATTTGTCTGCCCCATACCTACCCCATTTGTCACGGGACTTATAATATTACGTAATTATATATTCCATTTATTTTCCCTAATTCGGTGTCTTGGCAATGTGACTGTTCACGTTCTTATCTCTACTAATATTAACATGCAAACTCAAAACAAATGGACCGATTTAAATAATTATTTCATCATCAGAATGCTAGATTATCCCTGGGCAATACGTAATTTATTACTTGTAAAAAGTAAAACCTTTTTGCAAGTTATAAAAATATTCTTGTCATGTTTCACTAATATTAATATAAAAACGTACACCTTAAAAGGAATTACTCGTCTTATGAAGCCCTTAATAGTCCTTTTCCCCTACACACTGAATATTTTAAATAAGTTACAAATATAATTCACTTCGTTGAGATTGGAGGAAAATTGCTATCGGAATATTTGTATATAAAATACACGTTCAATCAAATTGAGTAAACAAAACTGTTTAGTTAGTTTTTCTGAAATTATGGTAATATATAATCAGCGTATAAGTGAAACGTGTGACAAAATGTATTATTATATATATTCCAATAAACGTAATATTTTACTATTAATTTTTTTTTTACCATTTAGAGTGTTCAGAATAGTTGTTCTACCTGCAGATGAGTATCACCTCGACGTGCGTCGTTGCACAACTAAGCGTTTTCTAAGGCAGTTTCTGCCGCGCACCACCACTATGTGGAACCAGCTGCCCACTGATAATTTCCGAACCAATTTGACTTAGGGTCCTTCAAGAAAAGAGCGTAACAATTATTAAAAGGCCAGCAACGCAGACGCGAGCCCTCTAGAATTGAGAGTGTCCATGCACGGTTTTTACTTAACAATCACGCCTCCATCCGGTTTGCCCCCTCTTCTGTTAAAAAATTATAATTACTCTAATTATTTATAAATAAATAAAAAATTTGACTGGAAGAGGTTCAGGGGCACAAAAGGAAGTAGCCCGTATGACAGTAAAGCAGATGCGTAATAGAAAAACTTATTCGTAACAATTACTTATGGAGATAAAAGATTGGGTAAGACGAAAAAGTTTTCAAAGTTAAATTCTACCGTCATTATACTCAGAAAAGATATTCGAGCTAAATCCCGTTTTGAGTCCGGAGTATGATTTATTAAGATAAGTTTAGTCTCTTCACACGTCTTCAGGACAAGATAAAAACTTTCTGTTGTTATGTAAGTTGTAGATTTATTAGTATTTTGTAATTTGATTTATGTTATATTTCATACTAATAAAATAACGATTTTTACCCGACATTCGTTATATTCACGACAGATTCTACCAATTATTAAGTAATTAACACATTGCCATTTTTATTTTTATAACAAATTTGCATTAGTTTTCAATATCTTTAATTTTTTTCACTAATAGGCAAGTAGGTGATTTGTAAAGTATATAGTAGTATACTTCTGAGTCTAATACACCCCGTCGACTGTTTGTGTGACGATTTCCTATGCGCCAGTGTAACTGAAGATAAAAGAAAATTCCGTTTCTGATCAGCCGGCTTTTGAACCTATGACCAACGGCGGACACTACGCACACCAAAGACGCATAAAGTATGTTCTTTCTTGGTGGAGATGATAATATAAAAAATACAATATATTGGTTTATGGTGCGGCCCTGGGGTTTTTTTCCCCCCTTTTCGGCCCCCCCCCGGGGGTTTTGGGGGGGGGGCGGCTCTCTCATCAATGGGGCTTTTTTTTTTTTTTTTTTTTGGTTTTGGGGGGGGGGGGGTTTTTTTTTTTTTTTTTTTTTTTTGTTTTGTGTTGTTTTTTTTGTTTTTGTGTTTGGGAGATGATAATATAAAAAATACTTCAGTTATGTTCAAAATTGAAATTGAAAAACCTATAAAAATAGATTAAGAAATTCTCAAACAAAAATCTGACACTATTATTATGTATAGATTTTTGTAAATAACTATTTCTTAGTCTATAGCCACAAATCTGTCATCTCTAATCGGTTACCTGCCACGTTATCTAAACACATCCGAAACGGAGACCTTGTCCTTTGACCCAGAATCTGAAAGTAGATCGTAATGTATTTAGCTGATAATTATTGCCTCGCTCGAGAGATTAATTTTAACGATGTTTTATATGTACTACGTTATGTAAAATAAGAAGACTGAGAGAAGTGAATTTATCGAATTTGGGTCGTTGCGAACCTTGGCTATTTAAATTGAATTTATTTATTTATGAACTCGGGTGAGTTTCTTCACTGTTCTTCTTAGAAGTAAGTATGTTTATAAGAGATAATGAATGGCATTTATGAATAAATTACTTCAAAAATATACTAGAACTGTTATATAAGATTTCGAAAAGTATTAAATAAATCACGATAGTACGCATAAAGTTAAAATATGTGTACTTGACCTAATGTCAATGTTTTGTTTGGATACCTGCTGCTGGGTTCCATCATCAGACGTCGAGGCAGAATAATGCTACTCGTATACCCTCAAGGTCCGCGTTCCACAACTGAGCGTTTATTGAGGTAGTTTCTGCCGCGCACAACCACTATGGAACCAGCTGCCAGCTGAAGTATTTCCGAACCAATTCGACTTAGGGTCCTTCAAGAAAAGAGCGTATTAATTTTTAAAAGGCCGGATGGCTTCCTTCGTCCTTTGGCTTTGAGAGTATGCATAGGCAGCGCCTGTGCTATAAAAAAACGTCCTATGATCCCTAGACGGGGAATAGGGCGTCTACAGTGAGGCTCCATCGCGTTCAGTATTGAGCCTCGCATTTCACCTTCTTCTTTTCTTTTGAATATCTTTTTTCTATTAATTGAATGAATCTTATCGTGTTTTTGCTTTTAAGTTTTGAAATGAAACGGTTGTTTATGACAGACTCCAACCGTAAATAGTGATTATATAAATAAGCTCTATTGTTTGCGTATCCGAGCTGACAGCAAACAGTTTGTTTGCTGAGCACAATACTAATTAGTTGACTCAGCGTATCCAACATGATTGTCACCGAAATAGAAATACTATAAAAATATCTATATTAGTTTATAAAATATTTGTATTTTTCTGTTTGCAATGAATAAATTCCAACCCGATTTCAACTCTTTTAGAATTAAAATATTACATTAGCTCTGAGTAAGGGTATTTTTAATATATTTGAAAAAATAAGTCTGTGAGGCAAGATGCTATATATATATACTGAAGATATGAAAAATAATTTAATTTATTTCGTGGTATTAAAACTATATACTTTAATCATCATTTTTTTAATAAAATCAAAGTTTATTCGCCACTGTAGCTTGTAATAGTAAATTAAGAATCAATTTAACATATTTTCTGTTAAGGTTCATAAGTTTACTTGGTTACCTATATGAATAAAGTTATTTATTTAGTTTGAGTTTGAAAAACTTACGGGTGCAAAATTGATGAAAAATCTATATTGCCGAGTTTTTTTTTAATTAAGTGTGTTTTCCAAGACCAATCTACAGTTTCTGAAGAAGAAAGAAATATCTTTCAAGATATCACAAAAAGAGAGTAAGTTTTTATTCGTATTGGCTATTCATAACCAAAAATGTCTTCTTTACTAAAAACTTTCCAAAAATCTTCTTATAAAAACCCTTAAAAACAGGGATCTCTCAACCTAAATAATTTTTAAAATGGTAATATGTTAAACTATCCTTCTATTCAGAATCATCCATTATATTATTTGAAATGGTAGATTGAATTACTTGGAATTTCATCTACCGTTACAAAAATTAACTTAAAGCTACGATCAGCTTTTACTAAGTAACCGTTACATTTAATGGACGACTCTGAGTACATGAGATAAATGTAAAACCAACAAATATATAAATCACAGTAAAAATATTATCTTAATATCTAAATTTGGTTGATCTACTTAGATCAAACAGATAAACTAAATATACTATATAATATCGTGTCATTCTATGTACATAGAGGTATTTTATATAATTGTAGTACAATGTCATAACTCTTAATATTAAAAATAATTTTTTTTGCTACTAAATACAGAATGGCTAGACTGTGCAATCGGCTGTAAGGCCCGTACAATCTTGATATTTTCTCGGACCGCCTATCCGATCACAGGAAGGGCATTCTGTTATCACTTACTTTGGTTACTTCGCTACAATTTGTAATTTAAGGTATTTTTCTTTAGTAATATTTATCTTTGTAAACTTATAATAATAATCATTATGTTTGAGCTGTCCGCACCTGTTACTGGTTATAAAATTTATAACTTGTTTCATTCTGTGTGGCCTTGTTGTTACTACTAATTAATAAATAAATCAATAACTATATTACTTTAAAATATATCCATTAAATCACACTGTATCAATTAAAGTTGAACAATTATGTCTGAATTCGAGTCAGAAATTATGAATGAGAATAAATACTTGACATTACGCACACGTTCAAAGCACTCATTAAATTTAGCTATTGTTAAGCTATTTAATAAACTCGATACTGCATAAATCAATCTCCTACAGCCCTGACGTCCAGAGAATTAAATGCAAATTTATGTAAGTGACCAGTATAATTGTGAGTAAATAATAGCGTTTGCCTTTAGGACATGTGTGTAATTAAATATGTTTATTTTAAACATATGTATAGCTTTAACAACTCGTAAACCCTAAAACCATAGTAAAAAAAAAATTATAACTAAATTACTCATATGTTAAGACTTTATTCATTAACAAATAATTTATTCTAATAATAATTAATTTAATTACTAAAATATGAGCAAGTAATTAATTAAAATACAATTAACTCTTGCTCGCGTGAAGTTACAATAACACGATCAAATTTTAATCTAATAAGTTAGCTAATTTGGTTACTTTGTAGTTATTTACTGGAGTTAAAAGATAACTTCGCTTATAATCTTTATTCAGCCTAACAGTCTATTAATAATATGTATAATAAATTAATCCTTTTACACAATCAATTCGTAACTATATTCGTATAAATAATTTGTATAACTAAAATTCATAAAGAGTATGTTTTTGTTCTATATGTATATTATTTAAATCTTATATAAAAAATTAATGAATCCATAAACACACCATAATCAATTCTTAAATGTTAGGATACAAAGATTTTTTTTTTTAATTTTAAAAATGCCAATCTTAATTCTGTTAATGAATTATTTTCCTTGCTTTTTGTCCGTAGCTTGACGGCTCGATTTAACTCATAGAGTGCCATGGGATGCTGTTTCGGTGATCAAGTTTCCTAGCATACAATTATGTGGCTTGTTTAAAAACATGTTCCCGGAAATCGAACTTAGGATCATCTTGACTAATGGTTGCAATAAACCAAACAACTGGAAATAATAAAATAATTAAATTAAATATGGTTTTACGTTTGGTTTATGAAAAACACATAATAACTCGTGTAGTACTAAAATAATTTACTGCAAAGTGTCAAAGGCAAACTTCGTAACAACTTGAAAACGTTTATCGCATCTCAAACATAACTAAAGTCTCCAAACATAAACTAAGTTTACTTAAATTATCGCCACTTTAACTGTTAACTAAGTCATCTTTCTTAAACCATGGAGGATGGCAATATAAATAACTAAAGATAAATCTGAAACTTAGTTTAACTTAAGTTAACTCAACCTTTAAGTTTGAACTTTTATTTCAATGCAATAATTAAAATATTTTTATACTCTTTTCTTTTTCTTTTACTTTTGACAGTTGACATTCACCAGATTAATTGACATCTATTCAAATGACATATTGAAACAATTAAATATTTACTGTAATTATTATTGTATTTTTTTAAATAAAAGACTACGAATTACGACTTGTAGCTAAGTATTGGATGTCACATTAAAAAGTCTGTAAAACTTTATATATATTATTATACTATTATAATGTCTTCCAAAAATTATATTTAAAGACAAAAAATACTTCACCAACTATATAATAATCTAATACGAATATTCAACTTATTCCAATTACAATTGATATATTATTATATATAAAAAATTAGAGTTTTTTACATGACTACGTACAACTGTCAAAAGTACAATGGTTTTATCATAAATCTTGTACAGTATATTAACAAATACAATATTTTCTTCAATATTCTTCCATAACGCTATCTAAATTGTATTTAAATTTTTCAGACTCTTCGAGGAGAACCAAGATCTTCTTGACATGTTCGAGAAATTTCGACAATGCAAGACAAAAGACGAGCAAATTAACTCAATGGAGTTAGCGGAGCATGCTAATAATGTTATGAACACGTTGGATGAGGGCATTAAGGGATTGGACGATTTGGACAATTTCTTTCAATATATTCACCAGATTGGCGCCAGTCATAGACGGATACCTGGTTTCAAAGTAGAATATTTTTGGGTAAGTGGTATCGCCACTGTTGCTTAACAATACACATAGCGAAATGTTGGATAACAGTCTATATAAAACAATAGTTGATTCGTGTATCGTATCAATGGAACGGAGGCAGAAATATATCCCGATACCTTATTTCTGTACTTCTGTACAGAAGCCCACTGAAGTATTTCCGAACCAATTCGACTTGGGTCCTTCAAGAAAATAGCGTACCAATTCATAAAAGACCGGTAATGCACTCGCGAGTATGGCATTGAGAGAGAGTCATGGGCGGCAGTGAGCCTCCTGCACGTTTGCCCCCAATTCTATAAAAAAAATTCATTACAATAATATTGACACTACTATCTACTCTATAGACAATATTATCGCTCAAATCTTATTATGGACTTTATAATCGTATAAAGTTATTTAATACATTTTATGTATGTTTTTATAAGCCATAAAATACATAATAATCAACGCTCTGAAATCCTTTTAAATACAGCATAGTTTAGATTTTTAAAAGTGCAAATTCGTAAGTCATCGCTACGTTCTATAGGTAAATTCAAATAAAATACTTGGAGGAAAAAGAACACATATTCCATCTGACAATATTAACCTTGTGATATTATGAAACGTGACTCTCACGTAGACCAACAGTATTAACAAAAGAATACCGTAACTTATTGCCCGTTGATCCGAGCTGAAGCCCTGAATAAAATCGAGAAAATACCTCTCCATTCCCTGAGTCAATAATAAACTGAATGTCACAAGTCATAGCTAAACGAGAATTGTATGCGTTTGTAAGGATTTTTTTAAGATTATTTATTTTGTGACATTTATTTATTTGATTATTTAGTTTTCTGGTCCACTTAATCGCTTGATAGCAATTTCAAATAATTTCATTGTCAATCGAGTAAGTTTGTTTAATTACACCACAATTTATAATTTAAATTGTTACACGACATTGGCAGCTTAAATTACGAGTATTTACTGTTAATCGAGTTTTAAAAGATATAATAAATAAAGTTAACAATCCAAATATTTAATAAATAACGTCATGTCCGTTCTAGTTAAGTGTAGATGAGATAGTTTTGTAAAACTCTCACGTACAAGTCATCATTTGTATCCTTAAGAGAGATTGGCGAAGTAATCATTCCCTTCACCAAATTGTTTCAGTATGGTCGTTTTTCTTTGAATTGCTTCTGTCCATTTAGAAGATATAATATAATTGCAAATATAAGTAGTATATATAGCATAGTAGACCGGATCTTAGTCATAAAAAAGTGCGTGCGTACAAAGCATGTGTACTTTGTACGTGAAACTTCTTTGGCAAACTAATTTTTTAAGTCTTGTTCATAGTTAAACAAATCTAAAACTTTACATTTCCGAGACGTAAAGGGAGGGAAAAAGGAAGATATGTTAGGAATTTAATCAATTTAATTGTTATTAAAATATTAAAAGTGTCGAAAATTAATACAAATAATAAATTAAATTTATTTTTCGATAATAAAAACACGTGGCATTTTAATTTACTATTCCTCATTTGAGATTTCAATAAATTATTTTGCATAAAATATAAAATACTAATAAATATTTCATAAATTCTGTTTACCAAATTTTAATTATAAAAATATAATTTCTATAATTCGCCCTTCGCCCTCACTCTCTCTCAATCGGTCTCAATCGCTCTGTCCCTTTTCTTAGACAAAAACGCTGCACATCTTCGTGACGTTTTCGCAAAAAAATTCCCTCATGCACCTAAAGAAGTTCCACTTCAATAATTGGTAACATATAACTTACATAAAATGAAAAACTGGTTTTATAGAATTGATTTATTCTTTAACCCGCTTATTTATACAATAAACCCACGTTTTATTTAATACGATTGGCGACTAAATAATCTTTAATTAATTCTTTGCAGAAAATAGAGGCGCCATTTCTAGCCGCAGTTGAGTCGACTCTGGGTGATCGCTATACGCCAAACGTAGAGAACATATATAAAATAACAATAAAGTTTATCCTACAGACGCTCGTAGATGGCTACGAGAAAGCCGCGAAAGCCTCCAACTCAACGTGAACCCTCTGGGATTTGACATTTCCTGAGCTCAGATTGTTCTTTCAGACAGAAGATAAATTACTTTTTAGTCTAAAAACTGAATATAACTTTTTTACTTCCATAATATTTATTTTTTAAATTTTGACTTAATAGTTTCTTGTTAATTTATAGCGTTTGTTATTCTTAAAGTAGGAGTGAATTAATTTGAGCTCAGGTCATATTGGATGTTGTCATATTTCGGATCTCATATTTTTGGAGATACCTGTACAAAAGTCAATTTAGAAACCTACTGTGTATTTATATAAATGTATACAATTGTCTTCTCACGAATTCTAATATCGAGAATTCTTCACATGTAAACTTTATCTTAATTTTATAATTGTAATATATTGCTTAGATGTAAAGTGTATTAGGTTTAGAATAATTGTCGTAAAAATCGACTACAAATGAAATTATTAACTTATTTATTTAACATTTCTAACAATAATTTACAGCTAAACCAGTAAAGCATGAAACATCAACGTAAAATATGTATGACTATACCTTTCACAACAATTTATAACGCCAAAAAATACTAAGGAATCTATCCTTTATTTATCCTGAAAAGAAAGGGTGAAATAACTAGGAAGGGTAGTGTCAACAAGAGTTGTTAGCTTAGGATGTGAATATTGATTGCAGAGGTAACGGGCCGTGACGTCACGATCGTGGTGTGACTTGAAGCTTCAATTACGATTAACGAACTCGTTTAACGGCGTGTTATGTACCTTTTTAGTGACTCTTCCTACTTTATTTTTAATACATGGTGCAGTTATTTATTAAATCGTTGCCAAATAATAAGTTTTAGCAAGATTTCACTGTAAACTATAGATGTTAATAAATGTTAATTAATTATAGTTTAATGTCGCTTTTAAAAGAGTCAAAATTGTTTTCCTACACTTTTTGTGATTTCTTTTTCACATATGAATGTTTACTTTTTACTATATGGGGCATAACATTGTGTCGGCTGTGTGATAAATGCAATTTTAAGACCCATTTTTTTAACTTGCTATAATGTAGGTACATAATTTTATCAGCCACAAGATTTCGATTTACATAACACTCATAATCACAGCCAGATATTATACTTAAGCTATTTTGTATAGATTTATCATATCCCAATCTAAAACTAGAAATAATTTTCACTGACTTTACTTTCTAAATCATTATTTATTCTGACATTGTTTCGTATATTATTCATTATACCATTAGAGATAATTTAACGGACACCTCTGAGTATATTAGAAAGATATAAGATTATCAATATATCAAAATATATAGCAACCAGTTTATTTACATATATTTATAATGAGTGCATAATGTTGTGCTTTTTAAGAAAATCCGTGGCTTTATTTTATAAATGTATGTGAAGTCAATGTAAGAAAATTCTACGCTTAATGTGTACTTATGTAAATAGAGATATACTATAATTCCTACTGTGTTTTTCTGAATTGTTAGTTTATGTTTAATTTAAATTATTTCGTACTTAACAAATTGTTAATTAAATCTCATAAGGCATGCATAATGTTATAATTAAAGCCGAAAATAAGAGATATATTTAAAGGTATATCCTTTCCATTGAAATAAAATTTTCAGATTGCGAGGCGTTGAACGAATATTGAATTACTTATCTGCATTCCCGAGGGAGCTACAGGATCACAAAGAAAATGTATTTATTTCAGTTTAAACAGGAAAATTGAATTATTACTTCCATTAAAGCATCAGGTGAAGGGCTTTCATTTGACGAAAGAAATAATTATAGCAATCAGTAAAGATTTTGCTATATATTAAAAAAAATGCAATGATATCAGGCCTAGTCTTTTGGCCATACCAGCGTGGGTCACAGTTCTTACAAAGTATTTTTATTTAGGACTCATGATCTATAGAATCTACTAAGGTAGTTAAATTCTTGATGAATCTATAAGCCAATTTGAAGAACGAACCTATTAAGTATTTTCAAAGGCAAATGATAAATGCAATTGTTTTTTATCTTTCAATCTTCAAATACTTGTAGATTGTCCTTATTGTACATGCATATTATGCCAGCTATGTTTTTAAGTATATTTGGAATACCCAAAGTCATCGTCAAAAACCAAGTGACACGTAGGGGTGAAACGCTTACAATGTTAGCTCATATTTTATTTATTTACACTTCGTGACATTTATAGAAAAACAAATAACATACGTAAAAGTTATAAGGGAAGCATTTGACGGCTTCAGCAGTGACATGCGATTTCCAGGTAAAAATAGGACCTAGTTATTTCGATCAAGACGGCTTTTTTACTTGAAGTGCCAATGTGTTTCTGAAAACTTTTGATAGTAATAAGATTTCTGGTGTATTTTTTATTTGTGTAATACAAATTCGGTTCGATGCCAATAATATTACGCACTTTCCAAGTATTTCACTAGTACGGGTCACTTGTATAGTAGTTAATAGTTTTTAAGAGATGAATGTTTGTATTATTAAGATGGATGTATCAAATGTTATTTAATTTGAAATAAATTATTTTAAAATGCTGCCTTTTTTTACTATTTATTTTCTTTATACTCATAGTTTATATTAATGTACATATTTAGTTGAGAGGTAAAAGATGTGCAGAATTGCGAGTGATTCGAAACTTCAATAACCATTTGGACAACTTTCAAAGTTTTGCTGCTAGAGGAAATTTTTAAAAATAATTTTGCTTTGAACAACCCTTTATGTGAGGTCAATATTTTTGATTTTGTTTTTTGATTACATTCTTAAGTAAGTCAGTGATTCACTACGAAGTACAAGTCGTCTTCAATTGTTTTTTCTACCGTGCGAACAAATGTTTACGACAAGAATTGGCTTGGCTTGCACACGTTACACGTGTTACATGATTTTAAATAATTAACTATTAACTAGCTTTAGTAATATAATTTTTATTAATTAAATTTTATAAATCCGTATTTTTTAAAATAATATAAACAATATTGTCTACCGTTCATTGGAAGCTTCCTCTTGTATACTGTATAACGTGTATTTGACTGGATTTTTTTCAATGTTACATCGGTAAAATCGATAATTCAAAAGTGCTTATTTAAACTTTGAATTCACAAAAGTACAAATAAGATCAAAATTATGTTAAATTCTTCATACTTTCACGCAGGCTTTAAAAAACAATTGAAGTGCCGATATCATATGAATTAATCTTGGAATTAGATTTGTAATATCACCCGTATCTCCAAGGCATAAGGCTTATGACTAATTAGGAGAGAGAATGCCCACTATGACGTATGACAGCCATAATTTCAAAAAAGGATAGCGACATTATCATACAATTGCGATGCGTCATAAAAATTGTGGCCCAAGAATTATTATAGTGACGTGATTATATCGATATAAATACCTATCAATAGATTTTTGTTACTTAACTTTTTTTTTTTTTTTTTAAGACAATTCACACAATTGACCTAGTCCCATGCTAAGCTGGTGAAGTGGGTGTTATGGATAAAAGGGAACGGATATACATACATATTATTATAGATATATAGATATAAATACATATTTAAACACCCAAGACCCAAAAATGCTCATCACATCGATGTTCGTCTCAGCCGGGGATCAAACCCGGGACCCATGGATTCGCAGTCAGGGGTACTAACCACTAGACCAATGAGTCGTCATTGGTCTAGTGGTCACTTAACTAATTCAATAATAAAAATATTTATTTTGCGTAAAGATTCAGTTATATTTGGATTAGACTTCATAAACTAAGATTCTATTTTATATCAGCTAAGTTTAAGCGTACATGTGAATGAAAGCGTAAAATACTATATTATAAAATGTAGGTATTTTAAAATATTTTTAATAAATTAAAGGTTAAAAAAAATTGATACCAAACTAAAGAAACAACATTAAATATGACTTTTTTAATTTAAACATTTTGTTGACATAGTATCGTTAGTATTGTACCATCACTAGGAAATATCTTAGCTTTAGAACTAAAAATCAGTTATAAAAAATACACAGGACGCGTCACTGGTCACGTAAATCAAATTAATAACGGTTCTTGTCGAAATTAAACCAACTCTATACAAACGGTAAATTGTGTTAAAACAATTCCTCACAAGTTCTTTGAATATACGAATAATCCTCGTTATTAAACTCTGTAGTGCTACTAGTTCAAAGTTATATTTTAAAACAGATATTTTGCGAATAAAATGCCGCGCAGAATACTCTAAGAGTGACTATGTTTACATTCCTTAAAGTCAATTTTATCATTTGTCAATAAAGTGAATATAATTGTATCAAGTGTTATTCCTTGTTCGATAACGAAAACGACACGAATTAATTTGTTTAAATTCAACGGCGTTTAAAAATGGGGTGTAAACTTTCTCAATTGGCTTCGTCAGAGTTCCATTCAGATCCTTTCCATCGTCCACCACCACCATCAGACCCGAGATCACCACTCACCACAAAACAGCAGTATTGTATGCTCGCATCATGGAAAGGGATTTTTAGACAGATTGAGAAGACTGGAATTATTTTATTCGTCAAGTAAGTAATATTGAACATGTGTGAATGGGGAAGATCATAAATGCATGTACATAGAAATGCATTGGCCGGAGTTCGAACTCAAGATCTTCAAGTGAAAGAAGAAAGAAGTGTTACACACTTAACCACTAGAGTAATATTTGATTCAAATTTAATGCTATTAAAATGCTGCGTAAATAAAAAATAATAATTTTCTCAACATTTACAAACAAACACCAAAGATTAATAAATGAAGACTCTTGGGCCGAGGGGTTCAAGTGCACAGGCGCTAATTAAATATTTAAGTTGGCGCCTGGTGGATCCCAAAACCCAAAGCCTCGCTCAACGAATAAGTTTCGCAATACAGCGAGTGGTTGCGCCGGATTCTTATTTTATAATAATGGTTGCTCAATATACCCATCCTAATAGTTCCTAGACGCATATCTCATCACCCACCTATTTTATGTCCCAATCCTATGAAGGTACTAGTTCCGGAACGGGCTATAGGTGCCGCGCACGATGATGAGTCTCCAACAAGGATTAATTATTAGTGACAATTTTGATGACCCGCGATATGGTTCGATTGTACGCTGCACGCTCGCACCGCTTTCTTTAAATATTTAATTTTTATTATAAACTTTTAACTATATTTAAATTCTCTTAAACTTTTAACTTGATTATACTTTTGTGAAAGTGATTGTTCATTGATGTACAATAAAGGAATTTAGTCACGAGGAGAAGCCACGAGAAGAAGCCACGAGGTTCAAGGTACTGTGCCGACATCCTTTCTTTTTTTTCCATTTGTCCAAATATTGAGCAATCATATTAGGTATAAAGAAAATACAGTCCACAATATAAACAATTCTAATAATTAGTTTAATAGGTATAAAGTTTTATATAGTAACAACCCGCGTCGCCAGCGAGGAAATGCCGCCACCGTTAAAGGTAGAGTACCAGAGGGACCAAACTTTTTTAATTTGTTTTAATTTTTTATTTTATACACCTACGATCACATTCGTGTCTATAAAAATCATTTAGAAATCACACATTTCGATGATCTTGTTACACCCTCCTTCGCGAGGGGGCTTTTTAGACCCGTTCGGGGCGTATGCCCCCCTCGGATGGTGTTCTGGGTCATGCCCTACTAATGCACGGCGGTACGGGGCGCACATATTTAGAAAGAATGCTCAATAAAAAATAGACGCAATAAAGTGTCTATGAAAGAGTTATCATCGCGTAATGAGTATCATTTTTGATGTTGCGTGTTGTTCAAACGAGAATATAAGTACGTACTATTTCACCATGCCTACTGCTGATAGAGGACAAATCTTTGTTTTTAATTTATTTTATTATTATTCATTACTTAAAATGTCATGTGGAACATGGTGTAATGGTTGCAGCTCCTTACAAACGTTGTGTAAAACAAAAACCTTGGCGAATAAAAAGAGTGGCGGAGAGTTTATTGCCAGTTCTTATCTTCCGTTCTACGCCCTTGATTTTAGAACTTGCAGTAAATGTAAAATTAGAAGCATATATGATTAAATGACTTTTGACTTTTTTTGACTTTTATAATAATATTCAAAATTATTCTCATTATAATACATTCGCATAAAATTCTACGAAAACCAATGAAAGAGTAAAGGGAAGGTTAGGTTCAAATAAGAAGTTCGCACCAATTCGTTCGTAAAATATACGTTGGTAACGCTTTGAAACTTGTTCTACAGGAAGTTTTATTTGACGAAAACTTCCAAATCACTGTGTATACTAGCGGTAGTTCAGAACTTGTCCATTATTTACATACATCTAAAGTTAGTTTTAACGAGAATCTACGGGTGAAAAAGCAATTCGTATTCGCTTGGGAAGTAATTGGTAACACATGAGTCATTAGGGGGAAACGAAAAGTTTATTGTCTCAATTAAATATAAGTTTAGAGATTCCTGTAAAAATTGCCCAATTAACGAAGGTCTTTTGTCAATTAGACGAAACACCTAAACAATTGACAAAATTAGTTAATTTATTTCGTCTTCGTATTTTTATTTTTTTTACCTATGAGTGAGACTACTGTCCGATTAAATAAAGGTAATATTGTTTTGTAGTTTTGCTTAGGTATTGTTCTTACTTACAAAAAATATGAATGGTCATAAAAAAATTAAAGCTTGAAAAACAAATTAAAGTTCTTGGACATGCTTGTACATTAAGTATGTGCGACATCAGGAACATTTGAACGGAATGATTTATTTATAAACAAGCTTCAAAAAAACTAACTAATAATTTTCATAACATTTACGATATATGTATTTGGTGTAGTAAAAAGCTAAATAATATGTAAATTTCAATTAAATATTGATATAGGTAATGCCACAATCGATCATACAGGATCACAGCTGTAAGTATGATTGATGTACACTATTACATTTGGCAACTTAATACAGTATTTTCTAGTGTTTTTAGGGTAAAATAAATTACTTCATAGAATGTATTTTGTACTCAATATAACAAGAGTTGAAAAAACGGTTATTTGGAAAAATTTAAGCGACTGGAAACACCAATAGGTATCCAATATCTTAATCTTGTACTGTTCCGTAAGTTGTATACTTATATTGTATTAAAAACTAAAATAATATACATTGAAAAAAAAAACTAACCTTAACATAAACTAAAATATATTATTAAAAGGAGTCCCTTTAGGCAAGGTTCCGAAGATACTGGCAGCGTTCCCCCTTTGAATCGCTAGACTAATTCTTTGTCCGTAGCTGCATTTAAATCACCTGAAGAAAAGAGTTACGAAATTTAGTACATGTGCTTGGAAGCCAACAGATCAACATACCCAAATTCCAATATTTCACATACATACAATTCAAACTGATTACCTCCTTTTTTTGGAGTCGGTTAAAAGTATTACAACTTGTGTTACACACATAACAAGCTTATCATTGTGACTTCTCTTTGTCTATACTAAACTTGATAATATGTTTGCCAAAGGTGATTCTTTTCGTTCAACTAAGTATTTTTCAATACAAACCTCAGTTTCACCGTTGGTTTAAATTTAATTTACGTTCTATGATATCTAAACACAGTTTTTTTAGTTACATATTCCCAATAATACTTGAATTGTGTTAAAATTTAGACTTTTTCCTTCGGCTTAGTGGTTTGAGCGACTTCATCCCTGACGGCATAGGTTCGAACCGACGCGATGGATGTTTCTTTCTATGTGCGCATTTAACGCTCGTATAATGATCCGTAGTAACCGACATAAAGGCCGGCAACGCACTTGCGCTAACCTAACACCCAACACTATACCTATTAGAAAATTATAGCCTGCTGTGATTGTTCTTAAAAATAATATTTGTAAAATATACTTAAAAACAATAGTGCGTTTCGCATTCATTGAACAATTTAGTTTCTCATGCTCATTGTTTTATAATATTCATTTGCATCTGAGTGACTATACCTGTCAATGGCCCCATGAGACCCCTCTCGCCCCTGGAAAGTAGCCTTTATCATCCTAAAAAGGGGGTTACTCCAAATTAGATTCGTTATTCCAAATTAGGTTAGAGGTAAATAGAACCGTGTCAAGTCTTACTAAAAACCTACTTTAATTATACGTTTCAAAAAGTATATCATTGTTTAAATTTACTATATTTTTTCAATTCAACCAAAAACAGAAAACGTGCATTTAATAAGAAGAATTTAAAATACTAGTTTAGGGTTGTCTATTATAATAAAGCGATATCAATTACTCTGAAGAATCCATTTGTCAACAGCAATCATTTATTACCTCCAAACATTTGATAATCTATCAGCGAATTACTTACGCACGGAAATTCACAGGCGCTTATGTAATTCCTATTATATAACTAGGAATCGAATCCACAACAAAAGCGTTTAAAGACAGATTTTTTATCGATTACCTGATTGAACAATCGGTAAAATCACAACATATATTTAAATTAAGATTACTATTACTATTTAATATAGTAGTTTAAATACAATAAATTATAATAAATAATTACATATATAAAATAAAAAACTTTTAAATTAAACTAGTCCTCACACTAGGGAGTCCCTGTATGGTTGAACCGGATAACAATCATTACGTGGTATACCTATGGTACATTTTTTTTAAAGTTTTTTTAAAGTAATTTTAGAGTTACAACTAAGTCTTATAAGACACTAGCTGACCCGGCGAACTTTGTTCCACCTAAAAGTCTAATAATATCGTGTTAACTTTAGTTAAACTTAATTTAGAATTTCAGTAAAGTAATAATTTAATACACTTCATTCGCAAATACGATGTTTGAATTGCTTGCAATTGCGAAAGAAGAATGCCAGTTTTACAGATTAGGCCTCTTCTCTCTAGCGCCAATATTGCGATACTATATGTTAAAGCACTTTCTGAATACATTTTTTTGAGGTAACTGTTCTCCGGCGCAAGATAAAAGCCTGTTATGCAACTCTTCATTCAAGACAGAATTGGCAGAACTGCTGTTGGTGTATTCGTAAAATTAATTAATTTATTTATTTTATTCGTAACTTATTCCATATTTTATTACTTATTCTGCTATTCAGAGCGGATAGGAATTCACCAAAAAAGAGAAAACTAACATCGGTCCAGCCCATCTTAAGTTATAAGTGGTGTAACTAACACGCCTTTGTTTTATATATTTAGATTAAGTATACGTGATCACTGTGGTGTATATATACGTGAACATTTGAGACGAATAGTTGATAGTTATTATAACCATGCGCTGTATCTTTGTTAGTTTTTGGAACCTCAGTCATGCCAATATATGTAGCAAGGCCTCAGTGGCCTCGAAATTTTTAGACTTAAGTAAAAATATTATTAGAGCAGTGTTGGCTTAGAGGCACCTATGCACCTATCAGCCCTGGAGTTCCGCTTTTGAATTACAACGCAAAAATGGACTTTCTTTCTATGTGCGCATTTAACATTTGTTCGGACGGTGAAGGAAAACATCGTGAGGAAACCGACATGTGTTAGGCCGGGCCAAGAGCGAAAGAGATTG